AGCGCACAAACTTTTACACCACGAAACCTATTTACTCGGTACGCTTTGTTATAACAGAAAGGGGAATCCGAAAGAAGTCACCCAAAAGAAGTTGAAAGTTGGTGAAATTATTGGCAAAGAAAATTCAAGAGTATGTGTGATGAAGTGGAAGGATAAGAGAGATGTGGTTATGTTGTCAACCAGACATACAACAGAAACTGTAAATGTAAATCGCAGAAGTGGACCTGTACAAAAACCAGTAGCAGTTGTAGAGTATAATGCTGCAAAAAGCTCAATAGATCTTTCTGATCAAATGTCAAGCTACTGTTCGGCTCTACGAAAAACTATAAAGTGGTACCGAAAAATCGCCATTGAGCTCCTTCTGGGTACTGCTGTTGTAAATGCCCACTTTCTTTATAAAGAAATCAACGGTAGCACAATGTCTATCACTGATTTTCGAGAAAATATTGTATTGTGCCTTCTTTTTCCACACGAAGAGGACCAGAACACTGATACTCCTAGGCCTAGCAAGAAAAGGAAAATAAATAATCACCAATTCAGAAAAAAAGAAGGGGCTTCCCACAGTGTTCGTAAATATTGTCACGGCTGCTATGAAAAAAAGAAAAAGGGATTAATTGAAAAAAATAAAGTTACGAAAGTCACTACCTATTGCGAAGAATGCGAAGGAAAGCCACATTTTTGTTTAGACTGTTTTGCTAAATACCATAACTAAAAACTATCTTTTAATTTTTTATTTTTATATTCCATGACATTTGTGAAACATTTTACGAATAAATGTTCTAAATAATACTTGGTCCTGTTTTTATTTTTACATAACAATGCTGGGCCGCTAACATATCCAATTTATCATAAGCTTGGACCGCTCAGTTTCAAAAATTCAGTTCAGTTGAAAACTTAAAACATTAGTGTGGTGCTCGCGTCTCGTTTGGCGAGTACACAAAGAACTTCCAACATTTTATGACATTTTTGCTGCTCTTTCATGTTTGACGTTTTATGTCATTATTTTTATTTTTTTGGTTATATGCAATGTCTTGAGAGCACATACTTTAAGTGCGTTTTAATCATCCGCTTCTGCTTCGGAATTGTCGGTTTTCTTGTTTTAATCTGACAGGTTAAAACGACTAAACCGACAATTCCGGAAGCAGAAGCGGATGATTAAAACGCACCTGATGATTTTCTTTTACTATACGGAGAATGGTCGCACTGCGCAGCTTTCTGAGTGCTTTTTAAAAGGAGATAGACAACTCCGCCATTTTGAACCATTATTACGTGTTGCCTACATCTTGGCGCAATATTTTTAATAGGTGCGTTTTAATCATCAGCTTCTGCTTCGGAATTGTCGGTTTTCTTGTTTTAATCTGACAGGATTTTTTAAACCCAATACTGCCGACTAATGCCCACAGCCCATATCGGTCCATGCTTCCTGGTAATGTCGAATTAAAGGCGGTCCACCAGCCGGCACAGCGACCGAAAGTAATGTGCGTACCGGCGGTCCAATGGACCGCTGTGGCCCTGCCTCCTAACATTCTCAGCGGTCCCTAGGGACCCCCATGGCGCTTAACGTGTTAAATATACATTAAAATTTTTGTGTAGACTCGATAAATAATAGCATTTTTGTTTTTATTATGTCCACATTAAAAAAAAAATAAATTTTAATCAAACTACATGATACTAATTTAATTACGAGTATTAAAACTAAAGTCCTGAAAGTTTCGGTGAAGATGAGGACAGAACATCTGCCTTCCATGCGAAAAGCCCGGGATCGAATCTAGGCCGAGGACTAATTAATTTTTCATGTTTATTTTATTTTATAAATTAGTCAACTTCGTAAATTATTTTAAAATTAGTTATTTTATCTAAATAACCTAAAATAATTTTTTAAATTTGTAGATTTTCGTTAGTGGGTCGTAGAAAAAATATACTGACCATATCGAGTGGATTGTTCATATCACAATCAGACGATTGAGTACTCCGCCTACGACGTCGTGCTCAAACTTCGTCTTTGTGTGATATGGCTATCATATCCACCCTTGTTGAACAAACTACAATTTATTTGTTTTCTTGGTTTAAGTTTTACATCAGAAATAAGAACTAAATTAATTTACTTTTCAAGTTTTCTTGTAAAAATCGATTACTTTCTCCAAGTACAAATTTAGTACCTACCTAAAATAAGTACTAATTATGTAATATCGTGTAATATTGTAATTCAAATTTCACATTACTATAAAGTTTCAAAATTCCCTACTTCGGTATGGTCAGATAAAAATTGAATATATTATATTAATAAAAACTGTTAAAGTATTACTTCTACAAATCTGTATTTCAATTAATAAGAATACATAACCAATATTGTTAAAATAAAAGCACAAATTCTTTATAATTCCAAAATACCATAGAGTTCCCAGACCTCAGTCGAAGCATTCGTTTATCTAGGTATAAACCCTTTGCGCGAAGAGTAACACTTGCCAGAGACACGGGGTACCACTTGATTTGCATCCACGAGCGTGACACATTTCTTTAACAATTGAAGCCCTTGGTGTAAAAAGGATCCAAGTCACAATTTGTCGTGAAGTGACTGTTTTAGCTCAAAACATTTGTTAACGAGGATTTTACTAGCCACATACAAATTATTTTACCTCTAATCCGAAAGATGTGCTATTTTTCGTAATATTTATATTTAAATAAATTTTTTAATTATATTTGACAGATTTAAAACAAATTAAAAATTTAATTTCCCAAAACTTACTTAACATGGCATGTAACCAACCTTATTACGTCAAGGTTTTCAATTTTTTCAATAATAAAAAAATTGCTTAATCCGGGCCCGACTTTTCCCTTTAATCTAACAGAGATAGCACCATTCCGTCTTGCTTGGTTCTCGACCGCCAGATCAAAGACGCCGACACGGAGTTGTGGAGGTGGAGCTGTATTGTATAAGCTGTGATATTATCTTGAAGAAGCATTTTCAACAGGCCTTTTACACATAAAGCATGTTTTCACCATATTATTAGAGATAATAAATCTTAAATATACATTTACAACCAGGGCTGCCAGATTCAGTACTTTTGTACTGAATTCAGTACTTTTTCAACTTTTTCAGTACGTCAGTGTTACGTTTTTAGTTTTAGTACGTTTTCGTTGAAATTTGTCAATTCAGTACAATTTTCAGTACTATTAAAGGCGAGTTCGGTCAGTCAGGGGCTGGAGCGGAACAAATTTTAAATGACATTTAAGCGTGTTAAACTGTCACTAATCGGACTAAACCTAACGCTAAAAGGGTCGTTTGGAGTTAAAAGTGTTAAAGGAGTTAAAGGAACTTGGCAGACCGAACGTATTAAAAAAAAAAAAAAAAGATAAATGACATATTTCATTAGTGGTTGACACTGTTGACAGTTATTTTACAACTAATTACTAATTTTTTAAATTTGTTGTAAGTTTATTGGATGCAATTTTCGGAATTTGGAGAGGAAAATGGATAAGTAATAAGTTTTCTTTGCAGATTAAATAATGTTTATAAATATGATTGTTTTAATTTTGAAGGTTCCTTATTCATCAAATTAAAGATTCCCAAGAGGAAAATCAAATAAATATTGATTTTAATGCTGAAAATATTGAGGTTGAGATAGATTCTCAATTTGAAGATGATGAGGAGGAGGATGGTGATAACACTGAGAACCATCAAATAGTGCATAAGAAAAGAAAACTCTATAAGGCTAAATTTAATTGCAAATGGCAAGAATCGTTTTCTTGGATCCGGTCAAACATTGGTGTAGCTCACTGTAAGATTTGTAAAAGAAATATTTCCGGTGGCATAGTTCACTTAAAGAGGCATGAAAAAACAAAGCGACATTTATCCAAAGTAAAAATAGCTCAGTCAACCCCACAATTGATGAATTTTCTCTCCTCGGAATCCAAACCAACAATATCTGTAGACACAAAAAGAGCAGAATTAAAAATGATTATGTTCTTGGCAGAACATAATCTACCATTTTTAATCATGGACCATCTTCCAAAATGTATGGCATCTGCAGGACATGATTCAAATATTTTAAAAAATGTTAAATGTGGTCCAACTAAAGCCACAATTTATTTACAATCTTTCAAAGATGAATTTTCTAAAACTATTTGTGAGCTTATCAAGGGCCAAAAATTTTCTATAATGATTGATGAGACAACAGATATATCCACCAAAAAATGTTTAGCACTTGTAATCAGTTTTAACAAGTGTGAGAAAACAAGAAAATTATTTTTATTTTGCTTTCGCTTTACCTATGTACCTGTTTGTTTCTATATGATAACATTTTTGTAAATGTTTCAATAAAAGCTTTTTTTATAGGTTATTAATTTAAATTTCCCGCCCTTTTATGGTGTTTTTTGATTTATGTTTTAGTACGTTTTCATAAAATCTAGTACTTTTTTAACAACTGATTATTCAGTACGGTTTTTTGAGATTCAGTACGTTTTAAAAATTTTTTTAGTACGATTTGCCATTTTCATTCTGGCAGCCCTGTTTACAACCCTTACAACGTTATAAATAATAATATTATCCGTAAAATACAAATAAGAAATTGACATGTGTCAGAAAGTGTCAGAACTGGCGCTCACAGAACACTTCTGGCGCTGTCAAACTTGGCAACGCTGATTAAATAAGCCAATTACAGAAGAGGTATTTTCCCCCTCGGGGGGAGTAGATGATGCTAACAAAATTTAGCGCGGGGAAGGGGGGAAGACTCCCTCTAGTAGTAATTGCTCGGAGGTTCACATGAACGATAGGGTCACGAAGAGTGATTGAATCGATCACGGATCTTCGGAAAGAATCGTTCTTTTTGAGCGGTTCGTTCCACGGTCGTTCATGAACGACACATCTCTACGTGTCAAATATGACAACATCAACGTCAGAACCCAGAACTGGAGTGCGTTTAGAAACCTCGCACGGCGCGTCTGACCACATGCATTAGAATAGGGTCCAGACGCGCCGTGTGAGGTTTCTAAACGCACTCCTAAACACTAAACATTTGTTTGAATTTTTTTATTTATAAAAGTTTTCTATCAAAAAACATGCAGCAAGCAGTATGTAGAAAAAATTTTGTTTTTAGGAACTCTTTATCGCTCTTTATATCTGATATAATTAGCGCTGGAATATACTTCGCCATTATTTTGATTTTATAAAGAGAAAAATGTAATTGATAAAAGTTTAAGATGTCTGAAGGAAGCGATTTAACTAAGAAAATTACAGAGACAAAGCGGCAAACAGAAGTATTAAAGAACCAGCTTCAAAATTTAATAGATGAAGGAAAAAATCTGATTTGCCCTTCCAAACAAGACTGTATTCCAGATATTGATGGAGCATATAAAAATCCAGTACCCTGTGCAAATAAAGCACAAATAATAAAATCATATGACAAACATTCCAACAATATTTCAACTAACACTCAAAAACATAAGGCTGAAGTTAAACCGGGGTCCCCAAAAAAACTAAAGGCTTATGATGTGAAAGATGCACGTACTTTTATGAAGAAGCAGAAAGAGAAGCTAATTGTACAGCAAAAAGAAACGCAAGAAGAACAAAGAATTAAGGCAGAAATTAAAAGAAAGAAGTTGCAAGATTTGGATAAAAAATCTAGAGAGCTACTAAGCAAAAATGTACAAGCAAGGAAAGAAAGGTCAAATTCAAGAGATCGAAGTAATGTAAGACTAGATAACTTTTCTAATGTTCCTTCAAATTTGAGAAAAGCTGCATCTGTAGATAAAATTGATGTAACTTCACAAAAAAATCCAAATTTATTATATCCCAATGCACCACATTATGTGAAAAATAGTATTAATAAAAAAACTAATAAAGATAATCCTGATAAGTTTGTGATATTTGCAGGAAATTTTACTAGAAAAGATGTGGATAAAAAAACTATTCAAAGTAATAAGGTACATACAAATATTTCTACACAAAATAAAACAAATTTAACTACAAATAGTACAAACATAGAAACAAAAAATTATTTAGAAGTAAATAATAAAGAAGATATTAATTCACTTAAAAAAAAAGATGAAATTTCTACAAGAAAAAGTCCTAGTAGCATCAAACATTTAGAAAATATTAACCAAAAAGGTTTAAAACCCACAATATTATTTGGATCTGGTGAAGATGAACTTATTTTACCAAACTATGCCAAGACTAATATAGATTCAGTTAAAAATATTTTAGAATATAAATCATCTAATTCCAGCAAATCTAATTCAAATGTTACTGTAAAATCACCAAATCTGGAAAAAAATGAAATGGTAAGATTGTTTTTAATATACAAGGTTATAAATAATTATGATTTTTTTTTATTAGTTTGCAATAGAACAGTTGGACATGCTTATTACAGTTTACTGTTTTGACACAATCCATAGGTGATTGCAGGGTTGGTTGTAAACAAGTTAAAAAAAATGTCACATATTTGTACTAGGTAGTGATGTAACTAATGTTAATTTTCTCACATTCGTGAATGAGAATATTCATATCCAATATATGCGAATGTTGACTTTCAAATAAAGCACTTACAAAGTCTCATACAGATTTGACATTTCATGTCAGCCATGTGTAAATTGAACATAGCTGAGCCATTATAGGTTGAATGAAAGAAGCTTAGTCACATCATTGTATTTAGATAGCCTAGTAGAACAATCACAATGCAAATTATCTTGGAGGACAATATACAGTAGCAAGTTCTTTATTTAAAAAATATATTATTATAATTTAGAATTTGAATGTTTTTAAATGTAAGGAAGGAAATTATTTTTGTTTGTTTAGTTGCGATTTTGTTCATATTTTAATTAGACTAACAAGAACAAAAGAGAAAGTATTTCTAATTTAGTTGCCTACCTCAAGACTGTTCCATAATTATTTTTTTATTCAAATAATATAAGTAAATAAAAAAGTATAAATCATATCAGTTGTATTATCATTCTATATCCATACAATCCATATATAATTTTCTTTTTGTTTCTCAAAGACATTCGCCAAACATTCGCATCGTTTCTTGCGAATGCGAATGGCAAAAAATATGTGAATATTTGCGAATGCGAACATTCATTACATCACTAATGTAACATTTTGTGGTTGATATTAATGATAAATTGCTGTTACCAAACTAATTTTGTAAATTCATTGCCAAATAAAATAGGAAAATGCATGTAAAAAGCTGTAATTTTTGAGAAGTACACCATTATTGACTTGTCTTATGTCATGTAAATGATACAAAAAGATTATTTTATCTATCTATCTACAGCTAATTGATATTATAATATTATTCACTTTCAATGGTTTTTTTAAAATAAAGAAAAACAAAGTCTCAAATCTATGTATAAGAAAATAATAAATAATTCAAAAAACCATTTTAATTCGTAAGCAAAATCATAAATAAAGTGTTGAAAATAATTTTTTCTCTGCTGTTTTTATTTTCATATAATTCATTGCCTGTTGCAATATTAGCTAAAGTAGTTTATTTACCTATTATTTTTGACACATGTATTTGATATTTTCTTGGTTTTCTTAATTTTTTTCATCATTAGGAAACAGTTTGTTATACTCATTATAATACTTTTTCCCATACTAGAGTTACTTTTAAATAATATTGCTTAACAAACTAAAAGTTCTTTAGAATTATATTACCCTGATTTTCAAAAATTTGTCTGTATTGATGTCTTTTTTTTACAAAAATATCTTTTGAGTATTCCTTCTTAAGGTAGCAAAGATAAGGTATTTGTTTTTAAATATATCTGATCCTGATATAACCATGTTTATTACTCAATCCTACAGTTTTTATGCAACCAAGATAACTGAAAACAGTGAAAACTACTAAAAATTGAGAATATCTTTAAAACACTTTTATAACTGTCCTATTATTAATGTCTCTGTATGTAGACCAAAAACTAATTTCTTTTTTAATCTATTTGTTTTCACGAGATGTATATCAGAATAGGCAACAATTTGAAAATAATTAGCTAGATTTATTCATTAATTAGGTACCCCTAATATACATATAAAATATGAATTACAAAGCATAATAATAAAAAAAACATAAAATGTACAATTGTTAAAATTATTCTATAACTAAATGGCAGGTATTATTTAAATAGAAATTCAAATTTTTAAATACAACACAATAAAACCACAGCTTAACAATACAGCTAAAACACTCTCTTGGCGGCAACGGTTTGCGTCGATTTCGTCGCGCATCGCTTAAGCTGCGCCTTCGAAGGGAAAAGACGGTTTTGGCGTTCAGAAGTGTACTTAGGTAAGGTGTTGAGTCGTGCGTATAATTTCGTTGATTGTATAATTTCGTGGAGCCTATAATTTCGTAGATTTTGTTTGAGTTAAAGGTACTGTTATTATTTTGGTGACTCTTTAGCTGTGAGTAGAATGAATGAAAAAAAAGACATCATTCTGTTTGTGCAGTCAAAAGCTGTTTTAATAAGGGTTATACCTGCAAGAAAACATTCTTTAGTTTTCCCAAGGACCCAAACCGATAAGTACCACATTATAAGAAATTTTCATTATTAAAAATATAATTTATACAGGGTGTCCCATTAGTGCGTTATTGTTCATTATTTTGTTGTAGACACGCAAGAAAGTTTTAAATAAAAGTTATATGGATTTGAAAAATACCTACATATTTTAAAAATATCTTTGGATATACAGGGTGTCACGTTTTTGCCTGGCAAATTAAAATGTATGTTTTTTAAATGGAACACCTTGTATTTTATTTTATGATGAAATTATTAACACCCTAAATTATTGTAAAGACGAATTGCTACAAAAATTTTTTATCAGGTATGTGTGTGGTTACCTTTTAATAAAAGCCTTGCGGATCCACTCCTGCGATACCTGTCTTAAATATAACAAAGATCACGTTGAAATAGATGATTTTTCTTTTTATTGCTTTTTAAAGGCATATGATAACGCCAATTCAGATACATTTGGAAATCTGCAACTGTCAAATGATGAATTTGTAGAACTAATATTCAATATTGAAAAGATATTTCAAAATAATTTTGAAGAATTGGCTACAAAAAATAACATTTGTACCACACTTTTAGAATTAATTAACCCAATACCGTTTAGTCATCCATGCTAACGTTTTCCAAAAGAATAACTTATTTTATTGTATGTTTAATCTCAATAACTAAAAAATATACTGACAATTAGTTTGACAGAATTGTCATTTATTTAAAATTTTAAAAATAATAGCAGTCGGTTGATCAAAATATGAACCGTGATTGGCGAATTTATTTTTTTTGCAGTGTTCTCACTACCTAGAATGGATATGAAATATATTCGTTCAATTGAAGGCAATAGCATACTTTTTCGTTTTGTAATCTGTGCATGGATATTAGCCAATCTACGCACATACTACAAAACGAAAAAGTATGTTATTGTGTTCAACTACGAATATATTTCATATCCATTTTAGGTAGTAAGAACACTTTAACAAAATTAAATCTACAAATCACAGTTCATATTTTGGTCACCCAACTCCTATTATTTAAAATTTTTTAAATAAGTGACAATTCTGTTAAACTAATTGTCAATATATATTTTAGTTATTGATATTAAATATACATTAAAATTTTTGTGCAGACTCGATAAATAATAGCATTTTTGTTTCTATTGTGTCCACATTTAAAAAAAAATAAATTTTAATTAAACTACATGATACTAATTTAATTACGAGTATTAAAACTAAAGTCCTGAAAGTTTCGGTGAAGATGAAGACAGAGCATCTGCCTTCCACGCGAAAAGTCCGGGATCGAATCTAGGCCGAGGACTAATTAATTTTTCATGTTTATTTTATTTTATAAATTAGTCAACTTCGTAAATTATTTTAAAATTAGTTATTTTGTCTAAATAACCTAAAATAATTTTTTAAATTTGTAGATTTACGTTAGTGGGTCGTAGAAAAAATATACTGACCATATCGAGTAGATTGTTCATATCACAATCAGACGATTGAGTTCTCCGCCTACGACGTCGTGCTCAAACTTCGTCTTTGTGTGATATGGCTATCATATCCACCCTTGTTGAACAAACTACAATTTATTTGTTTTCTTGGTTTAAGTTTTACATCAGAAATAGGAATTAAATTAATTTACTTTTCAAGTTTTCTTGTAAAAATCGATATTACTTTCTCCAAGTACAAATTTAGTACCTACCCAGCTAGCACAAAAACATCCCATCTACGTTAATAAGCTGCAATTTTAGGCTCTTTAAGCTCGCATGCAATGTACTGTTAATGTAACCCTATCATCCCTGCAACCACCGAATGTCCGCAACGGCAAGACTTTTATAGCACATCTCACAGAAGTTAAAACGTGAAGTTCGGAAAACATCACACTAGCACTTTTACGGTACTTACCCTGAAAGTTGCTCTGAAACTTTCTATAGATGTTATAATGTGATTGACAGCATTATACAGTGTGTCCACGGATGGACTTAACAATACTTGTAAAAATATTTATTTTAAATTTAAAAGTACTTCTTCATAATTTCTTTTGCTTGTTAAATAAATACGATTAACGTTGAGAAATTATGAAAGAGACCTTTTGAAAAATTTAAAATAAATATCTTTACAAGTATAGTTATGTCCATCCTTGGATACACTATATTCAAAATAGTATATTGAGGATATAGTAAAATCTGAAGAAAACAAAATAAAAAATTGTATAAATTTATTATTAAAAAGCTTTTGAAATCAAGAACCAATATCATACAAGTAGAGGTAGGTATTAATAATATAGGTAAAAAAAAACACTGACAAATTGGACAAAAGTTGGTATAAAGGGTATATAAGGAATATCTCAAAGGTTCACTAGAATCGAAAACACTGAACGCTTGCACGAAAGAGTATAATAAGGTACCTATATTGCAAAGGTTCACTGGTAGCTAAAATGGTGCACGATTGTACAAAAGTAGTAAAAAGTGTATTTATATAAGGTATATTTCAAAAGTCACTAGATTTTTATTAAGATGGCAGTTGTAGGATGCTAAAAAAAGATATTTGCCTACAACTGGTACTAATCATAGTTTTAATATGATATAAACTGAATATTGATAAATGTAAAGTCATAAGGTTTAATAAAACAGCTAATATCATTATGCATGATTGTCATTGCATGTTCTGAACTAAGTTTTGAGCAAACTATAAATGATCTTGATGTTATTTTTGAGAGGGACCTATAAGAGTTTGGAATGCAGATGTCGAGAAGCATCATTTGTTTTTCTGTATAAGTTATTGAACGGTTTGATTGATAGTGACAGCCTGGTACACTTTATTAGATTCCTTGTTCCTGCCAGACTTACTAGGCATATGAAACTATTTTATGTAAATGCTCATAGAACTAACTATGGACAGAATTTATTTGTAGACCAACTAATGTCCAATTACAATAAGTATTTTTCAAATTATGACATTTTAAAAGGTTTATTTTTTAAAGTGTCAACTTTTATTACACTATTGACTTCATTTTTATACTGTGACAATTTTATTAATTTCTTTTTTATTTTATTTTGATATTTTAACCATTTAGAACTTTATATATCAGTAGCGTACTGTAAACAAATAAATATGTGAACTTAATTACATAGTTTCTTCCGTAAAAATAACTTTGTAGATAATAAATTTACTTGTTTAATTATTATTAAGAAAATAATATATATATATAAAGAAAATAAAAAATATGCTCGTTTAAATCGTTGCACCTATTTTTAGTTGATTTTTACTTACTTTGTTTTTTTAAATAAATAATAACATTTATTTTGACTTTTACAAATTTTATACTTAATAATGGATGTTCAACTTATACAGAACAATGTTTTTTAGCATGATATTCTGCTATGAAAGAAAAAGAAATAATCTCAGATGTTATATATTCTTCTTCAACCAATTCTGTATTAACTTTAGCTTCTAAAATTCCTGAGATTTTTACTAGAATTATAATCCAGCACAAAGGAAACCTAAAACAATATTTTTAAAATTTATTTTTAGTGATTAAAATATTATTACACTAGGGCGACCATACTTACAGCAATTTTTCTGTATTGTAAAGCATTTTTAAAGTTTGTCCAGCAATTGGTATTGTGCAGCAAACGTACAGCAAAATGGCATAGGTATATATATCCAGTGAAATGCTGTATTTATCCACCAAAACGTCACTACTGTCCAGCAATGGTAATACTTAATTTACTGAAACGTAACAAATTTAAATGTTATTTATCTTTAGTGAACTACATGAGCACTTCTATACTGCTGTTCTAGCAAGAAAGGTTTTATCTGCAAAATTAGCAGTTTTTTTATGTGTATTTGTCTACATTTTATCTTTCTCGATACTGAAAAGGAATGTCTTATTTGTAACAAAGGTACTAAAATGTTAAAAAGTTACACAAAAAAAGGTTTAAAAGATAATAAATATAAATTTTCAGATAGGACTTCTCTTGTTAGGATGGCAGTATCTCTGTTTTTGTATTTTTATAATTGGGAGTAGGGTTGAGTATTGGTCAAAGGTATCAATACCGGTATCATGTGAGATACTTTGTGGTAGAGGCATCGATACTGTTCGATATTATGTTAAAGATATTGATATTTATAAGTCTCGAGTAACAAAGTATCGAAAAAGTAAAAGATTTTTGTTAAACGGCTGGCAACCCCCATTCAACAGGACGGAGTAGGCAACTTAACTAATAACAAGAGTGCATCAGTAAAGTATATTCTGTAGTCGACACCTTTTCTTTCTCTACTGGTACTCTACCTGGTACAAGTTATAGTGTCAATAACTGGCAATTTACCTTATAATTAAATAACAAAAAAACAGTGGTAACGCTTAATCATATTACCAAGTTTCACCACATGCAAAAACTAAAATATTTCAGTACAAATATTTGAACAAACCTTATAATCTCTGACCACACACATAGCGATACAATACTTGCTTCTAAGTATCACTATGGCGATAGTATTGGTAATTTAGTAATTCAGTGCCTAAATATCGATACTTTCATTGTTTAATATCGTTACTTCTATAGTATTAAGGCATCAATAAGATCCCTATTATCGTGTAAAATAAATATTTCATCATTTAATTGTATCTACTTGTTTACAATGATTTATTTTTTATTGTATTTGGAAATTGAAATTTTACCATCTAAAACAACAGACAATAAATTAGAAAATTTATTGAAAAGAAGAAAACAACTTACCAAACTTATTCAAACGTATAGTTTCCAATTTCTTTAAAATCTGAAATACCATGGAGGAAAGAAATACGTACAAGAAAAAGTGACAAGTGACATTTTTTTATGTTTTGTTGGTTATGACAAACGAATGGCTACGTTCGAAAGTCCATAGTACTTCTCGTGGAAACTTTTTTAGCAAGTTACTTAATTACGTTGTGTTATCATAACAGGCAGGTTAAATACGTAAGTAACAAATAGATGTTTCGCGAGGTTTTGATTTCCCTAAACAACTTCTCATTAACGTTGCAATTACGTTGTATGGGTATGTTATTATGTTCCCTTAAAACAACATCGCCGAAAGGCTTGGTAACGTTATGTGCTAGCTGGGTACCTAAAATAAGTACTAATTATGTTATATCTTGTAATATTGTAATTCAAATTTCACATTACTATAAAGTTTTAAAATTTCCTACTTCGGTATGGTCAGATAAAAATTGAATATATTATATTAATAAAAACTGTCAAAGTATAACTTCTACAAATCTGTATTTCAAATAATAAGAATACATCTAAATATTACCAATATTGTTAAAACAAAAGCACACATTCTTTATAATTCCAAAATACCATAGAGTTCCCAGACCTCAGTCGAAGCATTCGTTTATCTAGGTATAAACCCTTTGCGCGAAGAGTAACACTTGCCAGAGACACGGGGGTACCACTTGATTTGCATCCACGAGCGTGACACAATTCTTTAACAATTGAAGCCCTTGGTGTAAAATGGATCCAAGCCACAATTTGTCGTGAAGTGACTGTTTTAGCTCAAAACATTTGTTAACGAGGATTTTACTAGCCATATATAAATTATTTTACCTCTAATCCGAAAGATGTGCTATTTTTCGTAATATTTATATTTAAATAATTTTTTTAATTATATTTGAAAGATTTAAAACAAATTAAAAATGTAATTTCCCAAAACTTACTTAATATGGCATGTGACCAACCTTATTACGCCAAGGTTTTCAATTTTTTAAATAATAAAAAAATTGTTTAATCCGGGCCCGACTTTTCCCTTGAATCTAACAGAGATAGCACCATTCCGTCTTGCTTGGTTCTCGACCGCCAGATCAAAGACGCCGACACGGAGTTGTGGAGCTGTATTGTATAAGCTGTGATAAAACTATTGAATTGTTATCAGCCACCTCTATCTGACACTCATCAAAAATTATTTGATCTTTCTTTTAAAACATTGAGATAATGAATTTTTTACATTCATGCGTAAGCTGTTAGAAGCTGAGAAAACTTTAAAAAAATAATGAATCCATAGTACTTTTATAACAAATTCGTGAAATATATAAGTTATTAATATTTCTTGTGCTGTGTGAATGAAAGTGATGTATTGTTGCAAATATTCTGGAGCTATCTGATTTACAATTTCATTCTCCAGGAAAGTGATAATATGCTATATATCAAAGTTAGATCATTTTCTCATTTCTCAATGATGTATTATTTGGGTTTTGACTCACCATGTAGAGATTTGTTTCCAAATGAAAAAAAAAAAATAGTGTCTTGGGGGGGTGGGTTGGCTCAGTGGTTAGAGTCATGACTTTGAGATCGGAAGGTCTCAGGTTCGAATCCCACCGTTGGCCGGGATTTTTTCATTTAATTTAATTATTTAAAATTAATTCTGATGCCTTGGTAGGATTCCCCACTCGACCATTCACTGTTGGGTTCTAATTAACAGTGCTGTTCCTAAAGTGGCGCTGGGAAACAGTAACAAAGCCTACACAGAACACGAGGCGAAATAACCTTAGCAGTTGAAGCCGATGACACACCAAAAAAAAAAAAAAAAAAAATAGTGTCTTGACATAAAAAAACTTTTACCACAGAAAATAAAATTCAATTGTTTCTTTTGCAGTATACAGGTCATTTAAATCGATACAATTTTCATATAAAACTGATTATAACGTGTGAAATATAATGTGTAATCCCTTTAGATTTGAAAGGAGTTGGACATTATTTGTCATTTACCATGACCTTTTCGGATCTATTGTGGGACTCCGTTATTTAGTTTATGTCGTATAGCTTTGCCTTTTTTATTAAGTAGCTTTTACTGTGGCTTCCGCATGTAGTTGTATGCTTCTGGCTTTTCTTTACCCTTACTATGTTACCAAAATAATAAACAGTGTGAAAAATTCAGGAATATGCAGTGGAATACTGACATCTGTCACCACTTCAAAATTAATAGAGATTTTCGGAGCAGGAGGAAATTTTAATGTTTTACAGGTATACGACAAATATGCATTTTAATTCAATATAAAAATTATTTTCAATTGAAGCAAAGTCTGTAATTATGGGTCCTTGGTGTTTAAACCGTCTGAATACCTGGTTTCTCCTTGTATGAAGATGTGCAGTGGCGTGAGTTTAATACGCCATATTAGTGTGATACTTACTTTGGGATTATATTTAAGTTTAAAACTATAAAATTTAGGTAAACAAAACGAACAAAACACACTCAGTGTAATTGTCAGTGAAACCAAAATTATATCATCACTAATTTAGCCTATAGTACCTCAATTACTGCATTCGTTGTAGTATGCATGGCCTTTGTGGCACTCAAGACAGGCGAGCCGCTGAATGTGCAATATCATACTATTTGGTTGTTGAAATGAGAAAAGTGAGGCCATTTCAAATATAAAAAAAACTTAATTTTGATATCTATCACTTTCCTGGACAACTCTGTTGATATAATTGACATTATTTTTAATGTTTTGTCTTTTCTGATATACATCTCGTTGTGAAAGCAGATTAAAAAAATAACAAATAGTTTTGGCTCCACAGAAACCGGCCAAGGCGTTACCAGTGGCCCACCATGTATATTCTTCATCCATATTCTATTAAACTTGATATATTATTAGCTTGGAATCATTGCTATACTTATTTAATATTTAAGAATAAAAAGCATCAACTATAACTTATTTTTTTTAACTTACAGATTGAACAGACAGATCTTGGTAATGCCTTGCCTAAAGTAGCATTAAATCGAAATCAAAAATCTCCAGACACATTAAACAGATTACCTATATCTACTAATATTCTGTCAACTGAAAAAGAAAAACAGTTACTTAATAAATGTTCTGTAGAAATTCAAACAGATAATTATCGAAAACTGTATCCTAAATGGTTAGATGAGCAACCTCCTCAAGCTTACCCATTTAATTTTATTAATACGATAAAAAGAAAATTACAAATCGCAACTACACAAAAACCAACCACGGATATCGGAATACAAAGTTCCGTAGTTGAGTATGGCCACATTGGCCACCAAAGAGACAATCTGTCAGTGATAGTAGTAGAGCCAAGTAGCAGTCCAGATTCAAAATCTATTGAGAGATCTGAATTAAAATCATTCATTTCTCACAAATGTCTTAATTTAGACCCACAGACTATTGAACATCTTGAGTTGGTTTCAAAAAATAAATTCCAATGCCCAAATTCAATTTTTAGAAATACACAAACTCAGTTATCAACAAGAATAACAGAAACTGAAAGTGAATCTGACACTTCTAAGAACATACCAGAAATATCTAGTGAAAGTGGAACGTCATTAAAGAAAAATGCAGAATCGGTTAAAAAAGCTTTAATGACAAATAAAAATCCTACTATAAACACTGATAGAATCGACAATATGAAACTAGTACCGAATAATGTTGTTACTAATACTGTTACTATTAGGACTAAATCTGAATTACCCTCTACATCAGCAGAAATACTATCCGATTCTAAATCTACCACAACTAAACAATCGAAATATGGAAATACTTTATCAGTTAATGATAAATATGCTGCTGATTTCGATTCTGATATGGATTCGAGTTTAGATAGAAGCAGGAGGTCTATAATTAGTTTCAATAAATCAGGGTACAATGAAGCGTTAATTCTGAGCCCAGAAAATATTAAAAGTATTTCTTCATCTAAAAAAACTTATTCGCCTCAAAAGAGTATATCTGATGTTAATACAGAAATGATATTGAGTAATAGTATTGATCATATATCCAAATCTACTGAGAATATACAAAAAAATGATACAGGCTCTCTATTAAAAGCTAATTCTGATAGTAATAAGAATATAATTGAAAGAACAAAATCTAACGTTGAACTACCAAGGCATAAATCTAAGTTAAGTTCTAGTATGTTGAAATCTACTTGTAATGAAAAAACGATAAATTCAACGAACTTGAACACTGAATTTGATAAGTCCAAGAAAAAACATTATAAAATGATTAGAAAACTTGAAATACCTAGAAGTGATGATGCAAAAGTAACATCTAGTAAAAATTCTTCGGTTCACACAGAAACCAGACCATCGAGCTCTCTGATTGAAAGTTTGTCAAAAACTAATATAAGTTTACAAAATATTAATACAAAGAGAGAATCTTCTAGTATAAATGACAGTTTATCAAAAACTGATATAAGTTTACAAAATATTAATACAAGGAGAGGATCTTCTAGTATAAATGACATTTTATCAAAAACTGATATAAGTTTACAAAATATTAACACAAAGAGGGGATCTTCTAGTCCAAATGAAAAATCTGATATTGCTCTTCTTATTGAACCAGTTGTTTCTTTGGTTAAACTTTCAAGTGATGAAAAGGATCGGGATACTGAAAGAAGAAATCCGATAGTTAAGAATATTTCTGTGAGATCAAGCAAGGTGACAACCAAAAAAAACATGGTAAGTTTATATATATATATAATTTTTATTAATTTTCATTAATTTTTATTAATTTTCATTAATTTTTATTAATTTTTATTGATTTTTTCTAATGATATAAAAATATGTTGATATTTATCTTTACTGATTTCTTTTTATTTAAAAAAATCTAATAATTCACAGTATTTTTCAATTTTTAAAACCTTTTAATTAGTAGGCTGTAAAAATAAAGTAAATGTCACTTTTTGTGATATTAGAAATTAGTTATTAAAAATTAAAACTCTTTCTAGTTTTGCTCAAGTCGTTCTAAATTTAAGTGATAATATAGCTTTGTTCGCGGTAACAATACTGAACTGATTCAGAATTACTAATTCATACTTTGAGCGCATGCTCGAATCATTATCAATTCTGAATTTTTACCGCGCGCGCAATTCCTATTATATCACGGTATTTCAGGTATAGACAAGCGGTCCAAACCTAATAATTATTTTACCGCCAACGCAGAACCAATAGTTCAGTTCTTTTTGTTCCGCGAACGCTTTTTAACTACATACTGCGCCTGCGAAATCGTTACTGTTAGTAATAATTCGGTTCAGGATTGTTACCGCGAACAAAGCTAGGCACATATTTCCCAAAATGAATTAATTGATATGATTTTCATTCTCGGAGAATGCTCTAGAAATCCATTTTTAGTCGTGTTTATAAAGAAAGATATCCTGAACGAGAACTCTTCCAAGAGAAGAATCATTTAGAAATCTCTTGGACAGATTTATTGCAACAGGAAATGTTTCTTATATCCAAAAACAAGAAAGAACTAAATTTGTTGTAAATGAAGAAAATGAAACTAATATTTTAACTGCAGTGGTAGAAACCCCTGATACTAGAACTCGCCAACTTGAAAGAGATTTTCAAATAAGCCGAACCTCTATCAGAAGAATAATAAATAAAAATAAATTCCATCCTGATCATATTCAACTTCACTAAGAGCTCAAAGAAACAGATTATCAACACCGGATAAATTTTTGCAATTGGGCAGAAGATAAATTAAACAAAAAAAATTTTGTTTACAGATAAGTGTACCTTCCACCGAAATGGTTATATTAATCGGCACAATTTTCATTATTATTCAGATGAAAACCCTCACTATTTCAGAGTCAATAGTCAGAAGAAATGGTCGGTTAATGTTTGGGCAGGCAAAATAGACACTTATGTTATTGGTCCTTTCTTTTTTGATGGTGTTTTAAATTCAGAAACTTATTTAAATTTTTTTTAAATAACCCTTTATTTGGTCTCCTTGAAGATGTACCACTTGCTCAAATTAGATATGTACTTTCAACAAGATGCCCGTGTAGCGCATGGGTCAACAATGGAAGGTGGATTGCAAGGGATGGACCATTGCGATGGCCAGCTAGATCTCCAGATATTACTCCAATGGACTTTTTTATGGGGTTATATCAAAGAAAAATATATGCGGAACAACCAACCACATCTGAAAACATGAAAAACAGGATTAGAGACACTTTTGAAGAAATTAACCCAGGAATTTTGGATAGGGTTAAAATTTCTTTTCGTCGAAGAATCCAAGTTTGTTTAGAACAGGGTGGTAGACAGTTTGAACATTTATTAAAATAATTGCTTTTTTTAGTTTGATTGTGGTGTTATTTATTTTTGTTTTCTGTTTTTCTTTTTTTTTTCTTTTGTTTTAATTTATTAAATGTTTTTTAATTGAAATTGCTATTTATAATTTTTAACGGTCTACTAATTTCAAAGAGATTAAAAAAATTGAAAAATTCTGTGAATTAATAGAATTATTTAAATAAAAAGAAATCTGTAAAAGACAAATATCAACATATTTTTATATCATTAGAAAGGTAATCGAATTCTGAATGTAATGAAATGAAAAAAATATGGTAGTCCCATTTAAAATAATCAAGTTACCTTGGATTGAAATTTTGCAAATTGGCGTAGCGATTATTTTAAACACAATAAGGGTTTGACTTTGATCGTCTGACAAATGCTATTACATTTCATGCTTAGTAACACTGTAGAGTCACGGCCTTCTAAGTTTTATAATAACTGCGATATTCAATTTTTACTAGACGTCTACTTTTTGAAAAAATAATGAATTGCTGCTTAACGACTCATTTTAAAATTGACCGAGGAATTCAAATATGCAATAATATACAGAGGGTTCCTATTAAAAAACATAACTTTTATATAAATCACCCTGTAGAACAATTGGAATTTCATCGAAAATATTTTTAGGTTGTAGCCTTAGAGGTCTTACAGCATGCCCCAAAAATGAATTTTAAAAATGTACCTTAATAAACCCGCAATCTTCCACACACGCACTAATAGCCCACCCTGTATTTAAGGTTGGCATTCGCCCATAGAAATCTGCCGTATATGCGCGGTTGACTTTAAACCAAGCTTTTGAGAAAAATATACTTCCTGGCATTAATTTTAATATTGAAAACCGTTCATGAAGTGTGCCTAGGGGTTGTAAAGACTTCTTAAGAAACGGAGTTGTTCTAAAATACTCGAAAAATAACTTTGACTTTTGGCATCTAAACCACATATAATCGCGTTGACTTACTTTGGAATTTTCTTTAAAAGTAAACATATTTACATGTCTTTCCGTTGCAACCCGTACAACCAAAACAGAAATAGTATATTACACACCGAGGTGGGAAGAGTTTCATTCCTGTCGTGAGATTAGTTAAATCACCGAGACGCGAAGCGTCGAGGTTAGCTATGATCTCGAGACAGGAATGAAACTTCCTACCGAGGTTTGTATAATATTTTATTTACAACCATCATATTTCGATCAAAGTTAATGTTGTTGTTGTTCTGAACATACCTAAAATATTACATTTAACGACAAATTACCAAGCGCGCGGTTTTCTCAGAATAATCAAGTAGGTAAATATAGTGTTACTGTGATTACGGGGTAAACAACTGTCACCAATATAAATAAATGTCAGATAAAGCCAGATATTAAATTCGCGAATAATAAATATCAATAAGTAGTGTTATATTTTAGATCATTGTTGTTTTTTATTGTTTGCCATTAAATAGGTATTATAAAATTTGTCAAACACTGTGTTATTTTTATTTTTTTTTAATATAAAAAATATTCATCTAGAATAGATGAAATGAGGGCGGGAAGTGAGGGCGGGAAGTAGAGGTGTGTAATGTGACACTTCCCAACCTTCAATGACGTTAGTAATGACAACATTACATATATGGTGGTAAATAAAATAATGAAATACATCACACTTCAATATAAGGTAAGCTGGGGTAAATGTATTATTCAGTAATAACAGTTCTGTAGATGTGTTTGAGAGGGCGCCATGAGCATGTTTTGTTGTGAAGGAGTATGCTGCTTCTATTATAGACTGACCACTCTTTGCTGCAACTTGTTAGTCTGTCGTTAAAAACGATCAAGTCATACTGATTTTTACGCCGCAGTTTTCAGTTCGAGTTAATAAAAGCCATAGCCATAGGCACAGGACTGAGTAAATATTAGACAGGTAAGTTTGTTCTTAGAATTACACTTTAGGTGGTATGTTTATTGTGTAAAAATGTTTTTAGCAGCATTTTTGTTTTAGTAATAATTATTGTTGATGGTACAATTGCCCCTAAAAAAATGTGATTCGGGGCTAATGTAACATGTTATATAGGGGCAATTGCAACAGCTCATGTTACATTTACCCCTAAAAAAAATTGATAAATTGTAAAGGTTGCTGCTCCAATAGTATCTTCTTCGTTTTAGGAGTCATGGTTAGGAACTATAATAAAAAGACCAACGGCCCTACCTATAATGAAAATATCTTAAAAGAAGCCATTTTGGAAGTAAAGGCAGGTCGTTTGACTGCTGGGAAAGCTGCAAAGGTATTTAATGTACCTTATTCAACAATATACACTAACAATAAAAAAGGAAAAGGGCGTCGCACGATTCTTTCATCTCAACTTGAACAGATGTTAGCCACCGGACTGAAAACACTAGAAAAATGGGGCTTTGGTTTGTCGAGGAAGGAGGTGCTACACCTTGTGGGACAATATATGAAATCAAATAATTTACCAACCCCCTCCAAAAATCAGTCACTAGGACAGGACTGGTTTATTGGATTTAAAAAACGACATGGCTTAAGCATAAAAAAGCCACAAAATATGGAGTACGCCAGGCAAAAAGCTGCAGATCCTTTTACAATTTTTGAATATTTTGATCTTCTCGAATCAACATTAGACAACCTTCAAATTAGAGACAAGCCATCTAATATTTGGAATCTTGACGAATCCAGTCTGTGTATTGATCCTACCAAGACCCGTGTTGTGGGGGAAAAGGAAAAATCTGCAACCAGAATTACTAGTGGTCCAGGGAGGGAAAACAACAATTTTATTAATGGTGAATGCTGCAGGCGAAAAGGCTCCGCCACTAATTATCTATAAAGGACTACACATGTGGGATCAATGGTGTGCTCCGCAAGGATCTGGTTACCCTGGAACTGTTTACGCGGCATCAAAAAAGGGCTGGATGGAGACAGATGTAATTAAAAACTATTTTCAGCACACTGTTTTACCAACTCTGGGTGAAAATCGTCCTGCTATTATCATATATGATGGACATTCGACTCATATTAGTCCTGAGGTAATACAGTTAGCAATTCGAGAAAACATAACAATTCTTAAATTACCTCTGCACAGCAGCCATTTGCTTCAACCGTTAGACTTGTCAGTATTCAAGCCTTTTAAAGACAAATGGGATGAAAAACTAGTATCATGGCAACGCCAAAATATTGGACGTAAGCTACCAAAATCTCTATTTTCAAAGTTTTTAGGGGATACCAGGAGACTTCTGTCCCCTGAGGTGATACAGAATGGTTTTATAAAAGGAGGAATATACCCATTTGACAAAACAGTCATACCAGATGAAAAATTTTGTCCAGAGGCATTACGTCGTTGGCACAAAATGAAAATAAACCAAGGGAACCAATTCTGAAAAAACAGAAAACATCCGG